GATCTAATATTTAATTATAAGACAATTCAAATTACAGTGTAAACTCCTGAATATATAATCATCTTTAGCATAAAACCTAGAAGCATTAAAACTGTCTACATTGAACCCATTAAATGTTTAATTGTCACCTATATATAAATAAGCTGTTTATTATGGTGTGGTAGTAAATTAGTATTCACAGAAAATATTCCTGAGTCTCAATGCAAATGTTAATTGCCCTTCATGACAAGAATAGTGTTCCATATACGTGACGCCCTCAGCTGCGGCTGCACAAGGACGAATGCCTCTCACATCTGACTGGTGACTAATGCTGCTATGTCCAGCCTTCTCTCCCACTTGTGACCTAGCTTTTCCCAGCTTTCTGCATTACCCTGCTGTGTTGTGGAAGGAACAACTGTTTCCACGAGGACATCATTGTCCAATTTTAAAAGAGCACGGTTCCCTTCCAAAACATGTACCAGAACTGATTATCCGCTGTTGGCTTGGTTCTTCAAGAGCCCAGTTGGTATATGCATTTCATTTTGTTTTATTTTTATTTTCTACCCTCCTACAACATTGTCATTGCAGGGTCAGGGAAACATGGAGGACACTAGAATGAAATTTTACGTCTCCAAGTCTGTATTCTGCTCTCCTTAACGTTCACCAAAGAAACATGAAGGGAATTCTATGATAGACTGTCAGAAAAAGTACACAGTCACCTGACAGGGAGCCCTCTTTGGAGTACTTGGTGTATAAAGTAGAGAAAACCATCACTCACTTTAAACGTTGAGTGTAAAATGGACTGTGCCAGGTAGAATGGGGAATGCAAATGAGAGGGAGGTGTATTCTGCTCTGGGAAAGTCACAGTCTCAGTCTCTGAAGGAGAGTACAGGGCTATTAAGATACAGGAAGAAAAAACATTGGAATTTCTCCTCAGGTTTTATAATCCGTCCTTTCGAATTTACGTTGTGTCTTTTTTTATACATGCATATGTATTAATATACAGTAATACATATATGTAAGTTACCAACAACAGAAGTGTTTTAACTGGTAAAGATGCACAATCAAAAAAGTTTGGAAACCACTGAGCATGAATGTAAGGAAATACGTCAGTCGACCAAAAACCTTTTAGTGTTTGAGAAATGCATTATCATCTGCTAGTAAGCCATTTGCAAGAAAGTCCCAACAATGTATTATTTTGTGTTGGCTAATATTTTCCCTTGAACTTTTCTTTATCGCCACCTGGAAGTCATATGCAACCTGAGACCACCGGACAGTGAGCTATTGTGATACCACATTCCTAGAGTCACCGCATTTCATAGTGTAGTTAGAGTGTAAATGAGACAATAGGGGGTCTTCTTTCAACCTTGCCAAGTAGGACACAGCCAGAAATGAACCCCCCCCAACATAGAATAAAAGTTAACCCATCAGTAACTTCATTGTGATCCTCCAATCTATCAGTCAATGAAATTTTATACCGGAAAGAAAAATTTATATGTTCACTTTGCTTTTAATAAAACTGGAAGAGTATGTCATCTGACACAGGATCAATTTGCATATTGTAAAATAACCATAAGTAAAATTTGGGAGGGAATTTATTCCTGCCATAGGCCCAGAATTCCTGTGTAAATTGGATACAAATTAAAATTCCATTGTAGCAGCTGATACAATTCCTCATTAGGAATTGCAGAAGGTTCCTATGCGCGTCCTGTGGTTTGCATGTGGTCTTCTGCACTCTGCCAACTTTCAAAAACCTTATGTCAAATTGCAAAAAGCTGGTTTTCCGCCAGTACTTGAAATGGCTGAACTGGTACATTGAAGGGAAGTCCATTGGGAAGCAGAATTCAACAACTTCTTGCCTCATCTTCCAAAGCAAGGCTCTTCTAGAAGAAGAAAAGCCAAAGTTGAAAAAAGAGAAACCAGAAGAGAAGTGAGGAGATGAAGAAGAAGAGGGCAAAATGAGAAGAAAATAAAGGTGCTTTCATATTTTCAGCTGCAACAGTAGCTCCAATTGACTTAATTGCTATTCATCTGAGAAAAAAAATCAAGGAAACCAATTGAAAATTATAAAAGAAAATAAAGGTCTGTTTTTGTCTTGAATGTTGAGTTCTGTGTTGTTTTGACTGTTGAGCACAGTGAATCAGATTTATAATGTGACTTTGCTCCTCACCCCCGTCCTTTGACAATAAAAGGACTCTTTGTCTAGTCTTAAAATGTTAAGTAACTGGTGGCATTTTGTGGTAGCCTGGCATTTCAATCCCTCATCCTTTCTCATCCCACTACTGTGTCTTGTGGTGTTGCGTATGTGTATGATGTGTATGGATTGGGGGGAGGGGAGCCTTACTTATCTCTAATAGGAGCCACACTATTCCATTAATATACTTGGAAATGTTTCTGTGTTCCGTCTCATTGTGATTCCTCGTTCAAATGTGCTGCCCAGAGATAAATCTCTACTCAATTCTTCTTAACAGCTGTCAAACCAGATTCTTCGCAGAATTATGTTGTCCTTCGGTTGAATGCTTTTGCCCCTTGACAGCAAGAAGGGGGGAAAAAGCTTTCCATTTTTATTTATTTAATAGCTATGTTTGTCACTTTTTAACATGAGATCTTTACTTACCCTTCTTAAAGTAAAACCACATTGAAATTTTACCAAAAAAAAAAAAAAAAAAATCAGTTCCCTGGCCTAGTATCCGACAAACTTTAAGAAATGGGGAGAAAGAAAACTGGGTAAGAATGTTTTTAAACAAAATACATATTCCCTACAGTATTAGGCACTATGGAAGGTTATCATAAAATAAAAATTTACTATATAAAATGTAAGAATACTGCTGCCTCCCTTAAATTCTAAAACTATCATCTGAATCCCTTTTTTTCTTCACAACCTTTCAAGAATCGAAAAACAGTAGGCCACCTGATACATTAACTACTGTAATTGACATCAGTCAGGCCTTCCATCCCCACTCACTCCGGCACTTTGAAATTACATCTGGCTTTGGATGCAGTCTTGCCCTGAGGCAAAAAGAGTGAGGACTACTAACTAATTCTTTGGGGTCCTTTCCTGGCCTGTGATTTTATGAAATGGAATTATGCTGTTCAAATGTATCCTTGTTTTTACAACTCCCATTTAGTTACTCTGAATGACCTTATGATTATGTGCCTTCCTGGCTCTGAACCATTCTGTCAAAATTTCCTATATTACTTTGATCTTGCTCTTAAACCACAAAGCAATTCCTCCTTTTTGCAGTCCTCCTGTCACCCATCCCTTGAAATCCTCTAGGTGTTGCAGACATTCAAGGATGAGCCAACGGAGAATTAAAAACTGTTGTTTAAAGGGTTTTTTTTTTTATTTTCATAGTTCTAACTTAGGTACATGATTAGGAAGTTAAAAATTCGTTACAGAGGAATTAATGATAACATGTGCCGATGATAACAAGGAACTTTCTAATGGGAAGAGTCAATAACCGTGCCTACCATTAGTTGTTAACCTCAGCAGCAGCACCAAAATTTGAGTATGAAACTGAAATGGAGTTATTTTGTAACCCTAAAGGTGATCCTTTCAAGTTAAGGTACTATGTTTATGGATTTTGGGGGCACTTTAGATACACTCTCAAACATTTTTTGAGAATGCTCCTTTTTAAGGAATCCTCACAAATTCATCAACATCTACTGTTAAATACACAGTTGAAATAAACACTGGCAAAATTGGCAGTGTAGAATTCTTGTAAAAATCATGGATTCTGGAGCCAGACTGCCCAGTGGCAATTTTGGCTCCACCACTTACACTTACTATGTATGTCCTTGAGCAAAGTGATTCACTGCTATCAACTGAAAATCCAATAGATCTACTCTCAGTATTGTTCTGAAAATTAAAAAAGATCATGAATGCTAATCATTTACCCATCTGCCCAGCACAGATAAGTGTTAACTAGTATTGTTATCAATTAGCAGTTAGGTAGTCTTTTTTTTTTGTTTGTTAACTATGTCAGCAAGCCTAAAATATTCACATGAACCATGGTAGAAGGAACAACATTCCATATTTACTCCTTGAGCCAATATAATTAGTATTCCTCAAATAGGACTCTTTGGCTCTCTATTAAAGGAAATGTGATATAGCCCTAATCCTATCTACTACTCAAAGCAAAATCTGAGTTTATCTTTGTTTATCATTGTTGAGAAAGATATGACATCAGTATTCAGGCAGTAAAAAAGATGGGAGTTTGATTTATTCAAATAGATCTATGTTCCTTTCCTGGACCAGTCTCTAATTTTTTTTCTCAAAATACTCAGTTGGAGTATTTTCTTCCCAGATCTTACAATGCTAAGTAGCTTCTCTTAGTATGTGCCAGATTTTTCCTTACATTTGCATATAAACATATTCTCATATTTCATTTTATTTAAAGCAATATTTTCAATGATAATTTATGATAATTTACTGTATTTACAATGTGGCAGGCATTACTATGGCAGTCACATGAAACCTAATAATCTTCTATGGTACACTGTTGGAAGATTTTTATAATCAAATATACTCCAGTGAATACCATTCCATCTTATGCAGTCTGGAAAAAATGTAAAAAACAGCTCATTCAGTATTGCTAAACCAGGAGAGCTCTATTAATCAGCACTTCTATGCTTCTCAGTATAATGATAAGGGATATTCATTAATGTGTTAAAATATTAAATTATGTGCAGGATTGTTTCTGTGTTGTGTACCTTTTGTACTCTATCTTTGAACTTAATGGACTCAAGATATGTATGGTGATTTGCTATTAAGAGAGTATTTTGATAATCAAACATCTTATTATTTGACCATTTTAAAAATTTTACCCAGTATAACTAGCAGCTGTGGGTTGTTTTTTTTTTTTTTTTTAATATAATAGAGTGTTTTCCCAATCATTCATTATCCTGTTTCTCAAATGGTTTGGATTTCTTTAGTAGATTTTTGGAGTATCCAATAACTGTTCATTACACTGGATTCATTTCTCTCTCTCTCTCTCTTTTTTTTTTTTTGGACATTGCAGGTGAAAGTAGGGAAGACAAGTTAGGAGATTCATTGCAAGATTTATACAGGGCATTGGAGCAAGCCAGTCTGTCACCGCTGGGAGAACATCGCATTTCAACCAAGATGGAATACAAGCTATCATTTATAAAGAGATGTAATGACCCTGTGATGAATGAAAAACTACACAGGCTGAGAATTCTCAAAAGCACTTTAAAGGTAAGATATGAAATGGAAGGAGAAATTCCTTTCAAGAGATTCATTCTTGAACTCAGTGGCTTACCAGATACTCTAAATGAAGAAATAGAAAATGGGGAGGTGGAGTGGATGGCAAGTAAACAGGAAGAACCTGAAGTTGAGCTGTTCCTATAAGGTAGTAAGTGCATTGGTAAAGAGGAAATAACCTTAACTTTTCATTATCATCTCAAAGCATTGGCTAAATGTTATGTGATTTAGTTCTCAGAGAAAACAGGATATAATTAAATTTTTTTTTCAAAAATGCGAGGCTGGTGTTATTCCTCAGTCTTTCATTTTCCTAAGATAAATATGCCATGTAGTTATTAATATAGTTATTAAAAGAACACAGCATGCATGCAGAATGCAATAGTGGGAACTAAAAGGCTTTGAGATATTTTGTGCCTATCCCCTGCAGCACATTTGGAGTGAAGCCACAGTGATTCATGTTCCATGTAGAAATTTTATAATTGTTCTGTTTATGCTATCAGTTCCCAGCTCACATGTTACTTTCTTATTCTGCATTTCCATAAGTGCTTACATTATCTCCAGTCTCTTTATTATGCCACCCCCAGAGTAGGGAGGAGGTAGTGGAAAAAGAGGAGCAGAAAGGCAAGAAGTGGAAGGAGGCAGAAAACAGAGCCCCCTCACTGTGAGTGTATATGAGAGGACAGGGCCTGCTGTACAAAAACTCTCCCTCAGCAGGCCTTGAGCCCTTGAAAAATCAAAAACAGAAAAGAACTACCATACAGAGTCTGTGGCACAGTAATCTCAGGAAACAAAAGGTCACAGGGCTCCTTTGGGAAATATTTCAGATCCATAGTATACCGCTGAGGTTTTGTGATTTTGAAGCACAGATGAGTACGAAAGAGAGAAACAAAATAGAAAATGCATGATTTGAAAAAGTTTCCAGAAGAAAGCAGCCAAGTTTTCAGAGTAAATTAGCTTTCAGTTGGTATTCATGCAAACACTACTGCAAATCTGTGGGACAACGTAATGACCTTTTGGTAACTAAGAACAGAATTTTAAAAAGAGCTATAATACTCATAAGAATAATTCTACTAACCAGCCGCACTCCAAAGATAACTTCACCCTCCCACCTTATCGAGCACCCCACCCTATTCAGATCCAAACCATCTAGCTGCCAAAGCAGACAGGCATTTTGAAGCAGGTCAGGCTCACATATTTTAAAGACCTGCTTCTGTCTTTCTAAGCCCCTCAACCCTGTCTTTTATGGTCTGGATTCCCTAAAAGCATTTACTTCCGGTAGCAAAGAATTTGAGCTCCTGCCAGTGTTCAGTTCATTGAGTATTGGTGAATCACTAGGTATGTGACACTGCGCTTCACTCTCTGAGGTAAAGATGATGAAAAGTCGCTTTAAAGAAATGCCCCTCATTGATAAATCCAAACTAGAAAGCGCTGTACTTTTCAGTGTGGGAAAATTCACAGAGAATGGAAATCTCCCATTAGGGAAGGATAACTGCCAAGCAACCTTGGATGTGTATAGGCCCTGGAACTATAATTGACCACTCGCCAAGCACAGGACAACTCCCAACATCCTCGGCTTCAGCAACACTGTCCCTACCAAGAACCAGAACAACTGCTTAGGCACCTTGCTGTTTGTCTTTCCTTCCCAGCTCTCCCTTCCTACTTCCTGAAGAACATTCTCTTGAATTCCCTGCCTCTTCCTTGAGCCCATTAAAGACAGGCCTTACAGGGTGCCTGGGGGACTTTCCGGGGGCGTGGCAGGTGCCTGGGTGGCTCAGTTGGTTGAGCTTCTGACTTCGGCTCAGGTCACAATCTCATGGTTTGTGGGATAGAGCCCCTGGTCTGTTTTTGTGCCGATGGCTCAGAGCCTGCTTCGGATTTTCTGTCCCCCTTTCTCCCTGTCCCTGCCCTGCTCGGGCTCTCTCTCTCTAAATAAATAAACATTTGGGGCACCTGGGTGCCTCAGTTGGTTAAGCGTCTGACTTCCGCTCAGGTCATGATCTCACAGATCCTGGGTTTGAGACTGCTCTGAGCCTGGAGCCTACTTCGGATTCTGTGTCTCCTTTCCCCACTCATGATCTGTCTCCCTTTGTTTCTCAAAAATAAATAAACATTAAACAATTTAATAATAAAATAAATAGATAAACATTTTTCACTATATTCCAAATAACTTGGATGTAAATTTTAAAAATAAATAAAATTAAAAATAGAAATTAGAAAAATATAAATAAAAATAAACATTTTATTTTAATTTTTTAATGTTTATTTTTGAGAGAGAGAGCGAGCAAGCAAGTGAGGGGCACAGAGAGAGGGAGACACAGAATCTGAAGCAGGCTCCAGGTTCTGAACTGTCAGCACAGAGCCTGATGCAGGGCTCGAATTCATTAACAACAGATCATGACCTGAGCTGAAGTCCAGCGCTTTAACCAACTGAGCCACCCAGATGCCCCAATAAATAAACACTGTAAAATAATTTTTTTAAGCCAAACCTCAGCTTCTCAGACTGTCTCACTCCCTCATCTTCCATCCCCCTTCCCACCTGGAAGACTCACTTCTCCCACAGGTGATAGCTGTGCTGTATTGAGTTCCCCCATAATGAAGCTCATTCTTCAACTGAGAGCCATCTCCAGCTGAGAAGGGAGGCTAGTTTGCATCGAAGACCTCCCAGTGCTTCAGGAAGGGAGCCATGATGTTCATACAACAAAAATAATGTATTTGCTCTCATGCAAGGATGAGGAGCTAACCATGTAGCAGGAGAGAGAAAACAGTGCAAGAGTAACTCAAGACAGAATGTAGGAAGTCCATTCAGTGGCTCTGATAAAGTGTCAGGAGGACATAAATGAAGGAGAAAACCTTTTTTTCTCCATTGTTGAAGGAAAGCTTTAAGAAATGAGAGGCATTTGAACCGGCTCTTAAAGAATGAGGAAGGTTTCCATAGGTAGAGACAGGAAACAAGACTGGCCAAGATTAAAAATTAACCACACACAGTGGGCAATACAGGCATACCTTGGGTGTAGAAAAAAGTACACTAGGACTTCAGTCTAAATAGCTGGGTTTGAGCATACCAGAACTGTTTCATATGGGCTTCTTAATATTTGCATATTAAGTTTATTTTAAACTTGAACAAAAGTCTATACCCAACTTAACTGCTGAATCCTTTTGCTTTTCAGGCAAGAGAAGGGGAAGTAGCCATTATTGATAAAGTCCTAGACAATCCAGACTTGACATCTAAAGAATTCCAACAATGGAAGCAGATGTACCTCGATCTTTTCTTGGATATCTGTCAAAACACAACCTCAAATGACCCATTAAGTATTTCTCCTGAAGTAGATGTAATCACTTCCTCTCTCACACACACTCACTCATACATTGAAACGCATGTGTAAGTATATTCTGCCCTCTGGCCATCTGGTACCTTCTGGTACTTTGAACAAGTATATGAGGTAGTTTTATATCAGTGTATGGGACACTTGACAAGTTATACTTTAAACTATGTGAAACAAACCATATATGGTCATAATACCACTGTCTTTAATGAGCATTTGTGTATTTTATATGCAATTAGTGCTCAGCTTATGTTTACCATGTGCAAAATCAACGGTCTTCAGTGACTTAAAATTAACTTTTGCAAACAACTCTGAAGACAGGTGGTCTTCAAGTAGTAAAACCACAAAAAGGCAATTTTCTATATAAGATCATCTTTTCTCCCTTTAAGTTAATTTTATACAAACAGGACTTCAAAAGTAAATCACATTTTTTCAGGTGCAGACATCCTTGTGGGTGGGAAAGAATTTAAACCTTTTTTATATTTATTAAAATGTTCGAAGAATTTTCTTAAACATTGCACAAAGTTTAATGCTGTAGTTTTATTTTTGTGAAATGTAGATGTGCATACAAGAGTTAAGCAAAATAGAAGAGCATCAACATAAGAAAAGTTCAGGTATCTAATATTCGTCTTAATAGTCTATTAACTTGTGAAAGCTGGTTAATGGAAATACTATTCCAAATCTATGGGGACACTTAATGGTGTATCAGGGCAAAGCTTTGTAAGATGTTTTTGTAACTAAGACCAAAATTGAAGATAGAGCTGCTTTATTTTCTTGGTTTAAATCTTCCTTTATTTTTGTAGTGACGAAATGCTGATTGTGTACAGAGGAATTTGAGAGTGGATTTTTTAAAACACAGCTAATTCACCCAGAAAGGCAGCTAAGATAGATAGATATATAGATATAAGTATCTATATATATAAACAATTTCAGCCCAAACTCGTGTTTTTAAACTCCGGCTCCTAAAAAACAAGGTATAAACTGAAATGACTCAACTTTTCAGTAATTTTTCCAATTTTTCCCCCAGTCCATTAATTACGCTTACATAATTATACTTCAGGCAGGGAAGTAAATGTTTCATTACAGGCTGGTGTGTGTTCTAATATAAAAATAATGTTGACAAATGAAATGTGCCTCTCTCTCGAGGAGGAAGAGGATGATGGTTCATTCAGAGATATATTACAATGAATTCCATGAGCAAAAGAATTTATAGAGGTTTTTCCTAGCTTCATGAATTGTTCTGTAGAGTGGATGAAGTCTATGAAAAAGTTCTCTTCATATATTTCCATTTATAAGTATCTTGTTTTTGAAAGTGATCACAGCATGATAATGACTGTGCTGCTTTTTAGTGTCTGGCTGCATAACGTACAAGTCACAATTTGCTGTTTTTTAGGGGGAGGAAGGGACCCTCCTTTACTATTCTATATCCTAAATCTACTTCTAATCAGCTTTATACTGTTGCCTGTACAGCTCAGTGAATGTACTTTCATCTCTAAGAGTTCAGATATATGCCAGTGAATATTTTTGCTGTAGAGGAGGAAGTAAAAACTCCACAGCAGGGATCATTTTCTTTGCTTTTGAAACCAACATTGAATCACTCGTTTTGCAGACTTTGCACACTGTACAGGAGAGTGGCCTTTCTACAGCACATTTTCAGTAATCCTATATTTAGTCAAAATGGATGAAAAATCATGTATTAATAAGGTTTGTATGGAATTTTGGGTCTAGTGTGATATTTTTATCATTTAAAAAACTATTTGTAAAAACATTTATTTACTGCATGAATATTGACGTACATTAAATTTGTGGAATTTTGTATATGTAAAAAAAAAAAAAAACCCACAAACAAAAACCTCTTGTCCTAAGATGAAGTGTGCTTGTTACAGGTGTTTAGACTTGTTGATGTTTACTAGACCAAATGTGTACATTCACTTAAAAATATCCGTACCTGATGGATGTGTCATGGTTACATACATGTTTACCCTGTAAACAATGAGCAGTTGATGGAAAGACTAGCCGTGTTGCTACAAAGCAGCTTTTACCTTTGTAAAGTCAGCTCTGTTGTTTTAAATGGTAAAAATTAAACTAATGAAGTTTAAAAGACTCGTGACTAGCTTAGCATGAAAGAGACCTTTTAACACTATATTTATCTGTACATTTAATTGCATTAGTTTCAAATCTAGGAGAGAGGCAGCACTGTAAACTGAAGTGAAATAAATTTAGCTCTTAATGAATCCTTATAAAGCACCTACTTTATTCATGCAGAGCTCCTCACATTTCTTTGAGACCTAACCACAGAGCCATCGACCCCTACCCCCTTCCCTAGTTAGGAGTTCTAACTTTGCCACTCCCTGTTTGGTATAAGGCAGAAGCAGGAGCTGTTCAGTGTATGCAAGTATATTTTCTGAGACCCTGCAAAATCAAGCTGGTTTCCCACTTAGCTGCCACAAACTTGAAAATTTCACCCACTCTTCTTTCCTTTCTCTGTTGATTCTTGGGAAGTTGGGGAAGGGAGGGGGACCGCCAAAAATAAGTTACTGGTTTCTTTTTTAATATAACCTATGGCATGTCTGCCCAATGAACATTTACAGACAAATAGGTTTGGGTTTTGCTAGATGTGCCACTTAACCAGAAGAGCCTGATTATTATGGCTAAGGACTACTTAAATAAAACTTAAAACCAAGGAGTGGCCTAAAGCCAAGGCAAAAGCAGGCTCGGGATAAGGATGAGGGACAGAAAAACTTAACCTAATCTACTTTCTCCAGAAACAAATGCTTTCTTAGAGATTTCTTTTCTCTCTCAGTTCTACATTTATATTAAACCATCAGAGCAGAACTATAAACATGGTTCTGGATCATAAAATCATAGCTCTCCTTACAGTGATTTCATGCTATTTAATGAAGGCACTTTTCCTTCACTATTCAGATAATGTTATCTTTTTGGACTATTTATTACAGCTTTTATAGTTAACAATTTTCTGGGGTTTGTATATAATTTCTTGTGGTATATTTTTGGCCTTGTTTGGCACAAAAGTAATCAGTTTAGCACCTAGGGAAACACTTTAACTGTAAGAGGGAAAACAGGGTCATATTTTATTTTCAAAAGTCCATCTCTAGACCAGCGTGAGTCTTCTAGACTTCCAGCTCACTGAAGCCGATTCATATATCCTTCTATGTTGGCCCTCCTGTCTCCCGTTCTCAGCTTAAGGGGAAATATTCCAATTGGGCCAACCTTTTGTTTGCATTCTTAAACTTCAGAAGCCGCCCTGCCCTTAGAGTCCCATTCTTAGGAAAAGCCCACGTGATACTGTTAAGCCTGCTCAAAAGCGACACTTTCTCCTTTGTCACCCGGAGACTGCACTGCATTAACCCATTAAGCCCAGCACTAAATCTGGCGCCTCTCTGAGCCCTCCCTCCCTCTCCTCATCCCCACCCTCAGCCAGCTGCAGCACTGCACACTGGAGGTCATTCCAGGCCCAGGGTAGCGAGCAGCCAATGTCCTCCCAGCGGTCCAGGTCGAGGTCGTAGCCCACCACGTTGCGGGTAGACACCTGCCGCGAATCCCGCCACTTGAGGCCGCCCAGCAGCAGTGCCGTCTCCTCCACCACGGCCAGCCCATAGCAGAAGCGATCATAGGGTAGCGGCTGCAGCCGAGTCCACTGGTCCGTGCCGGGGTCATAGCGTTCTATCTCAGAGAAGGGCTCATAGCGCCCCAGAAAGGCGAACACCGCGCCGCGCAGCACAGCCATGTGGTGCCCGAAGCGGGCAGTGCTCATGGGCGCCCTCTTCCTCCACGCTCGCTCCCCAGGGCCCAAGGAGTACACGTCCCGGAGGCTGCTAGCACCGCCCTCGCCTCTCTCCGCCTTACCCCCAGAGATGTACACGACACCGCGGTCCCCGACGGCCCCCGCGTGGCCGTGCAACGCCCGCGGCAGCGCCCCGGCCGCGGTCCAGCGGTCCCGACGCAGGTCGTACGTCTCTACGGACGCCAGCGCCTCGCCGTCGGCGCCCAGACCCCCGACGGCCAGGAGCCCCTCGCCCACCACGCCGCACCAGAAGTGGGCCCGCGCCTCTCGCATAGCGGGCACCGCAGTCCAAGCGTGGAAGCGCGGGTCGTAACGGTGCACTTGGGCCGTGACGGCCCGATGACCGTCTGCCAGGGGTGAGGAGGCGCCGTCAGAAGGGCTCTCCCCGCCCAGGACAAACAGGAAATTTCCTGAGGTGCACACGCTGTGCCCCAGTAGCGGTGCAGGCAGGCGCGTGAGACTGCGCCAGCGGTGGTTGTACACATCGAAGGCCACCACGTCCTGGGTGAGCTCCCAATCCTCCTCCTCCTCTTCCAACTGCCCATCTTCCTCCTCCTCCTCCTCCTCGGGCTCCGCTGCGGCGCCCCTGCCCCTGGCTACCCCCCGTGGAGCCGCGACCTCTTCGGTCACCGCCTCCCGCGCCCTGCACCCTCCGACCAACAAGATGCGGGTTTGGGGGCTCCGGACGCTGGTCTGCTCGCCCTGCACGAGCGGCTGACGGGAGGGCGCCGTGTGGTAGTTGAGGGCCTGGATAATGAGGCCCTTAACCCGGGCGGGCAGCACGAGGCCGGAGCCCGAATACACGCGCCGCAGCACGTCGGCAGGAACTAGGCCGAAGCGAACGCGCTCAAGCAGTGAGGCACAGTGGGCCAGGCGTTCGGTCTCAGGTTCCTGCCGCAGCCAGGCCAACGCCAGACCCAGCAGCCAGGTCTCAGGCACCCGCGCCACGTCGGGGGCACCCAACACAGCCTTCAGCGACGTGGGGTTCAGCTCCAGCAGCCCCGCGGGGCCCGCGCCCCCCACCAGCAGCTCCCGCAGGTGGCGCAAGATGCAGCGTTCGGCCTCGCCTAACGTGTGCGCCAGGCCGAAGCGCGCCGCCACATTGGCGGCGAAGCAGCAGTTCTCTGGGGACAGCTGGCGCTCCAGGTAGCGGCCGCACAGCCCCAGGGCTTCGGTGACTTGCAGATAGCTAGCCGCCTCGAGCGTGTCCTCCACAGTGTCCATGGAGAGCGGAAGCCAGGCGGTATAGATGAAGTCCAGCAGGCGCTGCAGGCCGGCTGCCGACGGCACGTGCAGGTGGATCACGCGCGCCCTGGATTCCCGGGTGTGGCTCTTGAACAGGGCCCTGAAGTAGTCGCTGGAACACGCGAGAAGCGACCTATGGGCCGGGAACTCGCTGCCCTCGGCCTCCAGTGTCACATCGCACAGGAAGCCTTCCGCGCGCAGAGCCTGGTAGCCGGTGAGCAGTGCGCCGCCATGAGCTTTACAGTAAGATAGGAAGTAACTCATGATGTCCAGGGCAGCAGGCGGCCTGGTCGGAGCTGGGGCCCGCTGGGCACGGCCAGAGACATCTCGGGGTACCGCGCCTCTGGGTCCCCTACGCGAGCCGCAGAGCCCCTAGCAGGGGCCCATTTTTGCCTGCTCAGCCTAAAGCCCAGGGCTCCTTCATCCAGGCCTGCATATATCCCTGTATCCCTTTCAGAGCAAACCGGGTTGGGGAACGGTTTCCAGAAGCTCCTAATAGCGGAGGGCGCGGAGTTTGGAGTCTTCTGGAGGGTGCAGGGTTTGGTTCCGGCGTCTGCGGAGGCTGCCAGCGCGTTGCCCAAAGCCCCCTCCCCGGCCCAGTTTGGAGAGCCCACACCTGTGCGCCAGGGGCCGCAGTGGCCACGCACCATCACCTGGAAGGGCCGAGCTGCGGGTGGACTGACTCTGGGGGCGGGTGCTGGATCTCCGACGGCGCAGATGCGCTGATGTGGCCTGCCTCGGGCGTCCCGGGAGTGGGGGACGAGGGCTCTGGCCTCCCGGAGGTAGAGGAGGAGGACGGATTCTGCGGGCACCCGTGAGGGCCGGGGACAACTGAGTACGGGGCGGAGAGGGGGGTGAGCTTGTTCCGCGCGGAGGATCAAATCAAAGCCTGGGGGATTAAGGAGGGGGGGCGCAGGTCAGCTCGGCGCGTCGGAGGCATGATTGGGCGCCGTACATAACATGCCGGTAGCTCACAGCTACAGGAATAGCGCGCCCCGCCCCGCCCCCCCGGCTGCTGGCCGCGAACCCAGGGCCGGGGCGCTGGAGGAAGCGGCCCGGGCCTGGGACTTAACTCCCGTGACCTGACGAGCCGCGGGTCACCAGGAGGTCTCGGGAACTCAGCTAGGGCTTCTGAAGGCGCTCTCTGGAGGGGGGCTGGTCTCCGGGGACTCTGTACCTGGTGGTGTTTGGGGAGAGGCGGGCGGCTGGGTCAGAGGAGCGTCGAACCCCTGGCGCCCTTGCGCCTGGAAAGAAGCCCCTGGCTGGAAACTTTCTACTTTCGGAAGGCCCTAATTAATCTGGCGGGGGCGGGGATTGAGCGGCGATTTTGCGCGCTGACACCCAGGAGGCTGCGCTCAGAGCTACTGGCCGGAGCCACGCCCGGGGGAATCTGGGGCTCCCCGCCAGCGGCGCTCGGTAACACGCCCCTCACCTGGACTCACCCTTTGGAGATGCTGGGCCTACTCTGCGCCGTCTCCCGGGATGTCTTGTCTCGCATTCCGCGCTGCGGAATTTGCTCCCAACCTCGCTCCCTGACCCCAGCTGAGTTCTCCTTTCCTGTTCCTGGACCCTACCCAACCCATCCCTTGGCAAAGTGGACAAGGAAATTGTAGGTGATTTTCTGCCTTTGAATGACCACTTCCTTTAAGAAAACAATTCATTCCTGTTTCTCTCCCTGACTTTCCAAACTCTGATTTAATTACTGCCTGCTACATCTTCAATGCTGTGACGAGATAATGGGCAGTAAGGAAGGTCGCAAAGTTCTGTAGAGGCAAGAGTTAAGTAGGGCCCCATTTCATGAAGTTATTTATAAGATGCACCCAGGACAGAAATGGTGACTAAAACCACCCAATCTTGAGACATTAGGAAAGCATTTCTTCATCTTCTCCATCCTCCTCTTAAATAACTAAATGATTAATATAACCGTTCCTTCTTGCCAATTTGGATCTTCTGTGTTTTGCTTTCATCTAGAATTGGTTTTTCTGTTTTCTAATTCAACCCCTCTGGCAATCTGTTTTAAGTGAACCTTTTGAGAGCATCTGAAATAACTTGCATTTCTGACAGTTGGGATTGTGTTCCATAAAAAAGAAGAAAAAAGTCTAAGGAAGGATTAAAATGTATCCTTTTCTGCCTCCTATGCCATTGTACTTACAGGGCCTCCAGGTAGAATTCTTGAAGTGCTTA